TGCATCGGTTCCGGCCACGCAAAGAAGGCGATGGCCAAGCTTCTGAAGCAGGAGTACGCCAACCTCAAGTTTAAGGATGGTGAAACGGTGGAGGACTTCTCCCTCCGCCTGCAGACACTCATCAGCAAGCTGAAGAGTCATGGCGTCACCATCAACGAAGAGGAGGCGGTCTCCAAGTACCTCTACTCCGTGCCGGTAAAGTACATCCAGATCGCTCTCTCCATAGAGACGATGCTAGACTTGTCCACCCTCACCATTGAGGATGTGACAGGCCATCTGCGGGCAGTGGACGAACGCCTGAAGCAGGCGACAGCAACGAAGGACAACGGGAAACTCCTGCTGACGGAAGAGGAGTGGGCTGCTCGGAGGAACTCCGGAAAGGCAGCCTCCTCCAGCCGCGGTGGCGATGGCAAGCGCCGTGGCAAGGCTTCTTCGGAGAAGAAGAAGCAGGTCGACCCCAATGCCTGTCGGCGCTGTGGGAAGATGGGCCATTGGGCACGGGAGTGCCCAAATCGCAAGTAGGAGAAGAAGGCCGAGGCTCATCTGGCGTAAGCTGATGATGATGATGATGAGGCCACTATCCTGATGGCGATGTTCTGTGCATTGCTCGACGTCGAGGCCGAGAAGAATGAAGAGGCGACGACGGTGAAAGGACCTGGGAAGGCCCTGAAGACTGTCAACCTCGATGAAGCACGCGCCCAAGTTCACCTAGGACGTGTGGGCGCCGACCAGGAGCAACGGTGGTATCTGGACTTTGGTGCCAGCAACCACATGACGGGCTCCAAGGCATCCTTCTTCGAGCTCGACGACGATGTTACCGGTACGGTGAAGTTTGGTGATGGCTCAAGGGTGGCAATCCAAGGGCGCAGCACCATTATCTTCAGGTGCTAGAACGGGGAGCACAGCGCGCTAATGGATGTATATTACATCCCATAGCTGCGTTCCAGCATCATCAGCATTGTTCAGCTAGATGAGCGCGGTAGCGACGTACTGATCAAGGACGGAGTCCTTAGGATCAGGGACCGGGAGCAGCGACTTCTCGCCAAGGTGAAGAGGTCCCTAAACCGGTTGTACCTGCTCGACCTGAAGGTAGAGCAGCCGGTGTGCCTAGCGGCAAGGCACTCCAAGGAACCGTGGATGTGGCATGCCCGGTTCGGACATCTCAGCTTCGACGCACTTGGTCGGCTGGAGAAGATGGTCTGAGAGCTACCCCACATCAAGCACGGAGGCGAGCTATGTGACAGCCGCCTAGCCTAGAAGCAGAGGAGCCTACCATTCCCAAAGGCGGCCAAGTATCGCACGAAGGACGCTCTCAAGCTCGTCCACAGTGACCTCTGTGGGCCAATCACGCCTGCTACAAACGGTGGTCGGCGGTACTTCCTCCTGCTCGTGGATGATTGCAGTTGCTACATGTGGCTACAACTCCTGACGAGCAAGGACGAAGCGACGACGGCGATCAAGAAGTTCAAGATGCGCACGGAGGCCGAGAGCGACAAGAAGCTCCGCGTGCTGAGGACTGATCGTGGTGATGAATTCACTTCGGTGGAGTTCGCTGCGTACTGCGCGGATTAGGGTGTGGAGCGACACCACACTGCGTCGTACTCGCCACAATAGAACGGCATGGTGGAGCGATGGAACCAGACGGTGGTCGGCATGGCCCGATCCATGACGAAGGCAAAAGGCATGCCGGCAAGGTTCTGGGGGGAGGCGGTGACCATGGCGGTGTTCATCCTCAACCACGCTCCGACCAAGGCCCTGACAGGCAAGATGCCATTCGAAGCTTGGTATAGGCGCAAGCCGAGCGTGTCCTTCCTCCAGACATTCGGCTGCATCGGCCACGTCAGGAAGACGAAGACGAACCTCACCAAGCTGGAGGACAGGAGCACACCCATGGTGTTCCTAGGCTACGCGGAGGGTACCAAGGCGTACCGGCTCTATGACCCACGCGGAGATAAGGTGCTTGTCTCACGCGACATTGTGTTCGACGAGGAGGCAGCTTGGGACTGGAGCAGTCCGAGCACGGGGGAAGCTGGCGGCTTCACCAACACCTTGGTCGTCGAGCACCTGGTCATCCACAGTGGTGGAGATGCTGGGGAAGAGGTGCCGAGCACTCCGGTGGTAGAGCCGAGCACTCTTGGGGCAGTGTCAAAAACTTCGGGAGGGATGCCGAGCACTCAGGGAAGAGTGTCAAGCACTCCTAGAGGGATGCCGAGCACGTCAGGAGTGGTGCCGGGAGGTCCTGCAGTGGTGGCGACCACTACAGGACGGGTGTCGAGCACTCCCATGGCGGAGCCAAGACGTCTTGCAGTGGTGCCAACCACTCCAAGACTGAGGCTAGGCACTCCTACAGTGTGGCCAAACACTGCAGGAGTTATGACGAGAAGTCCAGAAATAGTGCCGAGCATTGCACCTAGGGTGATGAGCACTTCAGGTACTGTGCCAAGCACTCTGGTGGAACAGGGAACTCCATCGATGCCGATCGAGTTCGCCTCACCTCCAAGTGACATCACTGAGTTTGTGGACGCCTACCACAAAGGTGAGGAGGTGCGGTTCTGTAGGTTGGACAACATCATCGGTGGCACAGGGCCCTCAGGCCTGGCTGGTTGGCTGCTCAATGACGCAGAGCTGCTACTCGTCAGTGTTGAGGAACCACCCACGTTCGCGCTGGCCGAGCGCGATGGAAACTGGCGACGGGCGATGCTGGAGGAGATGAAGGCGATCGAGGAAAACGAGACTTGGCAGCTCGTCGATCCAACTCCAGGATGCCGTCCGATCAGCCTGAAGTGGGTGTACAAGGTCAAACGGGACGAGCTCGGCGCCATTGTCAAGCACAAGGCGCGCCTCGTCGTCCGAGGCTTTGTTCAGCGCGAGGGCATAGACTTCGAGGAGGTCTTTGCGCCAGTAGCGCGCATGGAGTCGGTCCGTTTGTTTCTAGCCTTGGCAGCAGCAAAGAACTGGCGCGTCCATCACTTGGACGTTAAATCGGCCTTCCTCAATGGTGAGCTGGCGGAGATGGTCTTCGTCAGGCAACCTCCAGGTTTCAGCGTCAAGGGAGAGGAGCACAGGGTGCTCCGACTGCACAAGTCGCTCTATGGGTTGCGGCTGGCCCCACGAGCATGGAACGCCAAGCTTGACGCCACGCTGGGCGAGCTTGGGTTTCAGAGGTGCGCAACCGAGCACGTGCTCTACACGCGGCGACGGGGGAAGGAGGAGCTCGTCGTCAGCGTGTATGTGGATGACTTGATCGTCACCGGCGCATGCACGGAGGACATCAACGTCTTCAAGCGCGAGATGGCGGCTCGTTTTCGAATGAGCGATCTCGACGCACTCTCCTACTACCTCGGCATCGAGGTGAGACCGGGGAAGGAGGAACTCACGCTCGAACAGAGTGCGTATGCCTCCAAGCTATTGGAGAGGAGCGGCATGGCTGAGTGCAAGCCATGCGTGACTCCGATTGAGGAGCGGCTGAAGCTGACGAAGGCCAGCACCGCGGCGAAGGTGGATGCAACACTCTACCGGAGCATCATCGGCGGTCTGCGCTACCTAGTCCACACGAGGCCGGATATTGCGTTCGCCGTGGGCTACGTTAGTCGCTTCATGGAGGATCCCACAGAGGATCACTGGGCTGCGGTGAAGCGGCTACTGCGCTACGTCAAGGGGACGGTGGATCAAGAGATCATTTTTCCAAGACCGGCGGGAGTAGGCTGCAGCTCACTGTGTTCAGCGATGCAGACATGGCGAGGGACATCGACGGACGACGGAGCACCTCTGGCGTGCTCGTCTTCCTCGGGTCGGCCCCAATTTCGTGGTTGTCGCTGAAACAGAAGGTGGTGGCGCTATCTACGTGCGAGGCAGAGTACGTAGCGGCGGCCATAGCGGCGTGCCAAATTGTGTGGCCGCGCCGGCTGCTAGGTGAGCTGACCGGTGTGGAAGCTCAACCACCAGCACTGATGGTGGACAACCAGCCCGCCATCACCCTCGCGAAGAATCCGGTTCTGCACGGCCGGATCAAACACATCGACGTGAAGTTCCACTTCCTCGGGGACTGTGTCGATGGAGGGCAGATCGTCATCGAGTTCGTCGAAACTGGTCGGCAACTCGCGGACGTCCTCACCAAGCCGCTCGGACGTCTTTGACTCACGGACCTGAAGGAGATGATCGGCATGGAGAGGGTACAAGGGTTAGCAGTAGGATTAGGGTAAGATTGTTAGATAATCTAATGCTGCCTTGTATGAACACAGCAAGGGAAGGCGGCGCCGAAAGGCCCCCTGCTGTGATACTGTAGCCGCTGCAGGTGCAGGCGCCGCACGGCTCACCTGCAGCACTGTAGGCACATGCAGAGGCCGGCGCAGAGTCAGCCCTGTATGTTATCTAGTCACTGTTGCAGCAGGGCAGCTGTACTGGGACTAGATGGATAGAGTTGTATAAATAGACTACCACGGCAACTCAGTAAAGAGAGTTCAGATTTGCCATCTCCCAGACAGGGCTTCGGCCAACGCTGGTGTCTTGTAGTGTGTGTATGCTCTATTCTTCCTTCTTCTTCAAGCTCTAGCCATAGTGTGTGAGGACGGACAACCCTTGTTCGTGGTTGGCACGGCTAATGGATGCTCGGCAACACTAGCAGGTGCTCGGCAAGATTGGTGAGTGGTTCACTCACCTGAGCCGGTGATCCTGTGGGCCAACATGGCTCCGGCGTCTCAAAGAAGCCTTCTATGATGCCGAGGACCTGCTGGACGAGCATGAGTACAACCTCCTCAAGCGCAAGGCCAAGAGTGGGAAGGATCCCTTGGTAGGGGAGGATGAAACCTCCTCCATTGCATCTACCATCCTGAAGCCACTTCGTGCCGCCAAGAGCAGGGCGCGCAACTTGCTCCCTGAGAACAGAAAGCTAATTAGCAAAGGTTTTCGGTCGTGACAAAGATCGTGATCATATAGTAGATTTCCTTCTCAGCAGGACAGCAGAAAGGTACTTAGGTTTGGCCATTGTTGGAGCAGGAGGAATGGGGAAGTCCACATTAGCACAATATGTCTACAATGACGAGAGGATAGAAAAATGCTTTGATGTCAGGATGTGGGTCTGCATCTCACGCAAACTTGATGTTCATCGTCACACAAGGGAGATCATCGAGTCTGCAAAAAAGGGGGAGTGCCCACGTGTTGATAATCTTGATACTCTCCAGTGCAAATTACACGATATATTACAAGAGTCACATAAATTCCTGCTAGTCTTAGATGATGTTTGGTTTGAAAAATCTGATAGTGAGACAGAGTGGGAGCAACTCCTGGCTCCATTAGTCTCTAAAAAGTTGGGAAGCAAAGTTTTGGTGACTTCTCGACGTGAAACACTTCCGGCCAACTTATTGTGTGAACATGTCGTTCATTTGGAAAACATGGATGATGCTGAGTTCTTGTCACTCTTCAAACAATATGCTTTCTCTGGAGCAGAAATCAAAGACCAGCTGTTACGCATTAAGCTAGAACATATTGCAGAGGAGACTGCTAAAAGGCTTGGACAATGTCCTTTGGCAGCAAAAGTTCTGGGTTCCCGATTGAGCAGGAAAAAAGATATCACTGAATGGAAAGCTGCTCTTAAGCTCAATGATTTAACTGAGCCCTTCACAGCTCTGTTATGGAGTTACGAGAAGTTAGATCCACATCTGCAAAGGTGCTTCTTGTACTGCAGCTTATTTCCAAAGGGTTATAGTTATAAACCTGATGAATTGGTTCACCTTTGGGTGGCAGAAGGCCTTGTTGATTCATGCAGTTTGAGTAGGAGGGCAATGGAAGAAGTTGGGAGGGATTACTTCACTGAGATGGTCTCTGGATCTTTCCTCCAGCTGGGTTCTAAAAGACACTCTGACAAGTACTATATCATGCACGATATTCTTCATGATTTAGCACAGACACTCTCTATAGAAGACTGCTTCAGACTAGAAGATGATAATGTGACGGAAATACCACGCACTGTTCGACACCTATCTGTTCGTGTTAAGAGTATGCAAAGGCATAAGGAAATTATCTACAAGCTGCGTCATTTACGAACTATCATTTGCATTGATCCACTGATGGACAATGCAAGTGATATTTTTGATCAGATGCTGCGGAACCTGAAGAAGATGCGTGTATTGTATTTGTCATTTTACAACAGCAGCAAGTTACCTGAATCTGTTGGTGAACTGAAGCACCTTCGGTATTTGAACCTCAGGAGAACTTTGGTTTCTGAATTGCCCAGATCATTATGTATTGTTCACCATTTACAGTTACTTCAGTTAAACTACATGGTGAAGAGGTTGCCTGACAAACTTTGCAATTTAAGTAAGTTACAACATCTGGGAGGGTATGAGAACCGAATTCCCAACGTCGGCAAGCTAACTTCGCTACAACATATGCACATCTTTTCGGTGCAAAAGAAGCAAGGATATGAGTTGCGACAGCTGAAGGACTTGAATGAACTTGGTGGCAGTTTAACAGTAAAAAATCTTGATAATGTTACTGGAAAGGATGAGGCCTCAGAGTCTATGCTATATAAGAAGAATCACCTTAAAAAGTTGAGTCTTGTCTGGAATAGCGAGAATGGCATGGATGCGGATACTTTACATTTGGATATTCTAGAAGGTTTGAGACCCTCGCCCCAACTGAGTGACCTCACAATTGAAGGTTACAGATCTGGCACATATCCAAGTTGGTTAATTGAGCCATCCTATTTTGAGAATTTGGAATGTTTTGAGCTCAATGGCTGCAGTTTGTTAGAACGGCTACCACCTGATACCGAGCTGCTTCGGCATTGCTCTATGCTGAATATAAAAAATGTTCCAAATTTGAAGACACTATCTTGTCTTCCATCAGGCCTTACGGAGTTGTCGATTTGCGGGTGCCCACTGCTTACGTTTGTCACCAACAATGAGCTAGAACAAAATGACTTGTGGCAAACCAAAATAAAGACAGTCCACCTGGCGTCAAAACTTGCATCAATGTGGGAGCTGGATTCAGGATCACATATTTGGAATATGTTATCAGAGGACTGTTCATCTTTGAAGCAGGTTATGACACTGATGGATGATGATATATCACAACATCTTCAAATTATTGGAAGCGCTCTGGAGGAACATGATAAAATATCGGTGAAAGAAAATATCATCTGGGCATGGCTTTTTTGCCATGAGCAGAGGATAAGGTCCATTTATGGAAGGACCATGGAGCTGCCACTGATTCTACCATCAGGACTTCGTAAACTTTCTCTTTCTTCATGCACTATCACAGATGAAGCTTCAGCAATTTGTCTTGGTGGCCTTACTTCACTGGAAAGTCTACACTTGGAATATAATACGGCGTTAACTACACTTCCTTCAGAATCGGTGTTTCAGCATTTAACAAAGCTTGACTCGTTGGGAGTACAAGGTTGTTGGTGTCTCAGATCACTGGGGGGCTTACGTGCTGCTCCATCTCTTTCCAGTCTTTACCGTACGGATTGCCCTTCTTTAGAGCTGGCACATGGAACAGAATTTATGTCGTTCGACTTTGCTGAGCGCCTCACGATACGTGGCTGCATTCTTGCAGCCGACTCATTCATTAATGACTCGCCACACCTGAAATTTCTTTTAATCAATGGCTGTAGAAGTTCCCCATCCTTATCGATTGGCCACCTCACCTCCCTTGAATCATTAATTCTAGAGTGTCTCCCTGATCTGTGCTTTCTTGAAGGCTTGGGTTCTCTGCAGCTTAAGCAAGTAAGTCTGATAGATGCTCCAAACCTCACTGCCAATGCCAAGTGCATCTCACAGTTTCTTCGTGTCCAGGAAGTGCTAACTGTTAGTAGCTCTGTATTGCTCAACCACATGCTTAGGGCTGAAGGGTTTACAGTCCCACCAAATCTTCGTCTTACACATTGCAAGGAGCCATCAGTTTCATTTGAAGAACCCACAAATCTCTCATCTGTCAAGCGCCTGGAGTTTTGGACTTGCGAAATGGAATCTCTGCCAAGAAACCTAAAATCTCTCTCCAGTCTGGAGAGTCTTTATGTCGTTGATTGCTCCAACATAGCATCATTACCAGATCTTCCGTCCTCCCTCCAGAGCATAAGTATATGGGCTTGTGACGCCTTGAAGGAGAACTGCCGAGAGCCTAATGGAGAAAGCTGGCCAAAGATTTCACACATCCGCTTGAAGGACTTCCGCTAATATTGAACTTGCTTCTTTAGGCTTGCCACTTGAAAGAAATGAAAAGGTAACGGTTCCACCGATTCATTCTCGAGGACTAATTAAGTTTTCCAATATTTAACGTACTTCATGTTTCAAACAGCGGCCTCGAGGTTACTTCCGTCATGGCGTCCTCGTCTCTGCAGCAGGTTATAAGGGTAAGGGAGTGCCTCAGACTTCAAGTCAGAAGCTAATCCATCGCCGGTGCCGTCCCCTCAGTTCCCTGCTCCGTCACTCTGTCTCCCATTGCCTCCGCCCAGAGTTCATGAGCACCTCCATGGTTGCCAGTTTGTTTGTTCAAGACGTGTTTCTCAATTTGGACCCTGTTCTTGTGGCTGGTATTTTGATATACTTTTGTAAGTGCTCTCTCGTGTGCAGTGTGCTCTGCATTTTGATGTACATGTACTTTGGAGCTTTCCCACGTATTGCCATGAGGTTTGGTGTCTAGTGTAGTTTATAGACAAGCAGGCACCGAGCCAGCGGTGGGGCTAGGGGGCCTCCAGCCCCCCCCCCACCGCTCGCGAGCAAGCGAAGCTCCATAGAGCCGTCGTCTGAAATTTCAGCTGTAGATGTACAGGTAGGAGGGGCTGAGATTTGCTGAACCTCTTTTCTTGCTAATTGCCGCTGTTTAGCCCCTCCTAAGTTTTTTCCCAGCTTCGTTCCTGTAGACAAGGGTAGGAATCTGGTTCAATCGTTGGATGGTCAGACGGGTGCCCGTTTGATTGTTTGGGCAGTGGCGATTTGTGCCGGTTAATAATACCCAGTATGATCTACCTACCATGAACTTGAGGTTTGCCTCTGTAACAACAGTGCCGAAGCATGACTCTGTAGTTACATACTGGGTATTATTAACCAGCACAAATCGGTTAATGCGGAGCTACTGGCTCCTTTGCAACCATGCTCGGCAATGATGACTTATGGTAGTGAGTGGGCTAGACTTTCGTGGTGTTTGGCGTAACGCTTGGCTACCTTTGCTTATACATAAACTTCATTCATCTTAATTGAAAGGCAGAGCTCCTGCCATTGTTTTAAAAAAATATATTATATGAATTTGGTCAAAAGATGCTTTGACTCTCAAAAAGTTATAATCACTTATAATTTGGGACGGAGGGAGTAACAACATAATAATCTCTAGATTGTTCGGCTATTCAGGTTGTTATACTTTTTTCTCAAACACGCAAAATATTTGTGCATCATTGTAATTAAGATAGAAGAGTTTAACCATACAAACGACACGCTTCCGTCGAGCGCCCAAAGAGGTCAACATAAGGCAGCTGGAGGCTGGACCGTCCTAGCAAGCAAACTCAAGTTTTGATATTACACAACTGGTATACAACCGATAAAAGCGCAGCGGTGCAACCTAAGAGGTGGCCTTGCGTCTATGCTGCTGCTTACATGAGCATTTTCCTCCATCCGCGAAGAGCGCGTCCAGTGCTTCAATGTTGGACGTAGTCAGCTTAGTATCGAAGAGCCTCTCGTATGCCTTCTGTCCCGACAAGCTCGGCGTTGCACTACTGGAGGCGCATGCTTTGCCGAGGGCCTCTGGCCCTCGGCAAAGGACTAGAAACCCTCGGCAAAGGCTTTGCCGAGGGCTGCCCTCGGCAAAGACTCCTCGGGGAATTTTTAGACGGCGAAGGGGTCTTTGCCGAGGGCCCTTTATCGGGCACTCGGCAAAGCCTTTGCGAGGCCGAGATCGCCTCGGCAAAGAAAAGACGCCGTCGGATGCCGGCATCCACCGTGGCGGTTTCTTTGCCGAGGCACCCTCAACAAAGAAATGGTTTTTTTTTTTGAATTTGTTTCCCGAGGGCCGACCCTCGGCAAATAAAAGTTTTAATTTTTTTTTTAAATCTTTGTCGAGGGCCTCCTCTATGGCCCTCGGCAAAGAAATATTCAGGATTTTTTAAAATTCTTTGCGAGGGCGGCCCTCGGCAAAAGAAATGGTTTTGAATTTTTAACCCTTTGCGGAGGCCTACTCCACAGCCCTCGGCAAAAAAATTTTCAGGATTTTTAAAATTCTTTGCGAGGCCGGCCCTCGGCAAAAGAAATGGTTTTTGAATTTTTAACCCTTTGCGAGGGCCTACTCCACGGCCCTCGGCAAAAGAAATTGGCAGATTTTTAAAATTCTTTGCCGAGGGCCGCCCTCGGCAAAGAAATGGTTTTTTGAATTTTTTAACCCTTTGCCGAGGGCCTACTCCTGGCCCTCGGCAAAAGAAATTGACAGGATTTTTCGAGAAAATCTTTGCGAGGGCTATTGCTTGGGCCCTCGGCAAAGGCCTTCTTTCTTGCCGAGGGCCTTGGTCATTGCCCTCGGCAAAGAGGCGAAATTTAAATTTTTTTTGTTTTTGCATTCCATCGACACAAGCATTTCATATATATACATATATATATCACACATGAACCCATTTTCTCACAATATATGACAACCATAATTGTGAACCACAAATCACAATATATTACAACGACAAGTCACATGTTCATCATCATTCACATGTTTATTACGACAAGTTAATAAAATCCAAGCACAAGTCACAACCATAAATCACAAATCACGCTAAAGTCCAACCACATCACCTAGCACGAGTCCTCATCAAGCTAGCCTATGAGGCGATGGTGAAGGAAAAGCAGATCACCCGGTGGCCTTTTAAGCGGGTTGATTGGAACCCATGCATGATGAAGCTGCACAAAGGAGCGAGATTGCATGTGTGAGTAATCCGGAAAAAGCAGTTTTGAAACTTAGAGATTGCATCTAGTATTGTAGGAATACAAAAGATTAGACTAAATTGAAAATTTAAGCACCACCCCCTGCACGGGGAGGTTTCCAAAACTGCAAGAAAGCACGCCGGCACTGACATGACATCCATAACGGCATGAACATGACATCCACAACAACACGAAGGCCGACATACATGCAAAGCACAAGCGAAAAGTGAACTTTCATACTTACGGGTGAGTAGCTGCAGGAGTAGGAGGTGGAGGAGCTGAAAACTGCAGTACACCCGATGCTTGCCCAAGACTTTGCATGATCACCATCATCTCCGCCATCTCACCTGCCTTGACCTCGAACGCGACCTTCGGGCTGCACTGTACATGCGGTCGACTCCGCGTTCTGCTCTTGACTTTGCCTTTTTGTTTCTTGCAGCTCGGCTGCAATATTTCACTCAATGTATCGATAATGCAAATCTAATTTAGGTGTTTAAATATGTACGTCGATGAGTAAAACATGAATTACAGGTGCTTGGACTGCTTTGCTGCGATCTTTGGAGACGGCCGTGGACGTATGGGCTGGCCGGAGCTCGTGCTCCGTGCTTTCGGATAGCGTCGAGGGAGGAAACAGGTGGTGGAGTCGATGGCGCCGTCTGCAATCCACAACCGCCGTGTGCTTCTTGCCTCCTCCGAGCCTCATGATCGCCTCTGCATCAATGGGCTCGGTCGCGACATTATAATCTTCCCCATAGATCCTCCTTACCGTTGACGTGTACTCTTGGACTTTAGTGTACGCGTTGGGTCGGAATACATCTGAGGCGGGGCAGCCGGGTCGAAGGAGACAGAGAGGGCGGCACGCCTGCCCATGTGAGACATAGCCCACCCAGAGAGAACTCCGAGATCTCCTCCCGGGTGCGCAGACCTCCTGCGAGAAAAGACGGGAAGATGGTGAGAAATCAAATAGAATTGAGCGTCAAAATAAATGAAAGAAATCACTTACGTTATGCTTGTTTGTATCCGGGAGGCTACGACGCCTTGATGGTGAGTTGGACCTTGCCTCATCGACGACATTCCCCGCGCCTCTCGTCGTGCGTGTCAACAAAGTCTGTGATAACCACTTGTCCACGATCATGGCCCAAACACTCGAGGATCGATCGGCACCACGGGGAATCACCTACAAGTCATCGAGTATTTGACATATAAGAAGAAATTGAACCTACTTAATATCAGAATCGAATCATTATGAATATTATTAGCCTACCTCAAGGTCTTGGTCCCGGGTCGGTAATAATCCGTCTTGCTTGAGGCTTGGGGAGGAACGCCTAAGTACCGACACTGTAGTAGTCTATGTGGGCTGGGCGCCCATGGTGGTGCATCTCGGTGACATACTTCCTACAAAAGCTGCAGCGTACTCGATCCGCTTTGGGCCTCAAGTCCTTCTTGACCTTAAAATATTTACGCATACAAAACCAATGTATCCATTCATTATTTCAATAAAAGATTTAACCAATAAATGCGATGTATTAAGCAATATTGTGCGAGAGACTTACCCAAAACTCCGCCAATACTCGCTCCTGCTTGTTGCGGTAAGTGTCATCCGTGACCAGCGCGTACTGTCCCGATTGGAGGCCGGCTCCCTTTCCACCGCTCTTGAGACAGTTGCACAATCTTTGAGGTACCATTTCCTGCACAAAACACCAAGGATGCTTATGGGGTGCGTCTTTGGAGTACCCGACAAAACCAACCACGCCCTGCACAAGTGATTAAGAAAATTTATCAGTTTCTCTTAAGATTTCCAACATATCTTATGAAGTAGTTGTGATAACATCCATAGTTACTTACCTCTTTGCCATAGGTCATATCCTTTGGCGGTTGTGAGGAAGCGGAACCGGAGGGGAGGCTCATGGGACCTCACTCGTAGAGAGTCCGGTGGCGGTACCCTCTCCCTCGCCCTCGGCGCCTCGCCTCCCTCGCCCTCGGCGCCTCGTCTCCCTCGCCCGTCTGCTGACCCTCTCGTCCTCCTCGACGAGGGGCGAGGCCGTGGCCGTCCACGTGCTCCTCCTCTAGCACCTCGTCACGTGTCGTGGGAGGAGACCGCTGCCTCCTCGGCGGCTGCCCCTCGTCCTCCTCTCGTCACCTCCTGCGGACGCTACCCCAGACGGCGACCCCTCACCTCGAAGGAGAGGCGGTCTCTCCCAGTAAACCGAGGCGTGTCACGGCGTGGGCGTCTGCTTTCGCCATCTTTGTCCAATCACCGCAATCACAAAGAATGAACAAGA